CTCCCATCTGCTAAATAAGGGTGGTAGATGGAATTTATCATCTAAGTTCCTTCTACTGTCAACATTCCACACGTCTGTGATGTTTGCCTCTCTTTTTCCTGCCTGCATTTCAAATCATAAAGAAACCAGGGCACTTCCATTTGTCAGACTTTTATTGAAAACCCAGCTGCCCAAGAAGGCCAGATCTTGTAGCCTAGGCTGCTATTTAAATCTCCGTCAGACCAGAGAATCTTTGTTTAAAATTATATTTTGTTAATCCGTCATGTGGATGTGGAGCTTGCTATTTTTAATGCAGGCTCTGCACAGCCCAGTTATTCATGGCTGAGAGTTTGCCACAGAACTTCAGAGCTGTATTTAACAACAAACAGCTCCAGAGAAGCAAGATGAACACTTCTTTCACATGCTAATAAAATTCGGGAGTTGGGAGTAGAAGGGCAAGTTCTACCTCTGAGTGTGACTGCAGCTTGGAGATGCAGGCTGTTACTCGGTTCTGTTTGATGCTGCAAGAGCCAGCAAAGGAAAAGCCTACCTTAGTGCTTGTTTAGATGGTAGACTCCACTGACCTTTGTCCATCTGTCAAAATTCTAGAGATATGCATTTTTATTACAAGGCTCAGATACTCTTTAACATCTTCTAATAATTATTTTCTCTCTCTCTCTACTTTCCCCTCTATCTCCCTTTCTTCTCTTAGGTCATATAACATACACAGGGGGGAAAAGGCATAAAAATTGGGGCATTTAATTAAATGCATGCAGAAATATTTTCATTTATAACAACACTTAGCTAAATACTGGGAAACCATAGATAGCTTACATTGAGATATGTAAATTGTAGCAAAAATGACGTAAATTCTGACTTCTTGGACTTTGAGGGATGGTATTAGTTCATTCACTCTTTTTTATTATTATTATTTTTTGAGATAGAGTCTCCCTCTGTTGCCCAGGCTGGAGTGCAGTGGTGCAACCTCGGTTTACCATAACCTCTGCCTCTCGGGTTCAAGCGATTCTCCTGCCTCAGCCTTCCGAGTAGCTGGGACTACAGGTGCGTGCCGCCATGCCCAGCTAATTTTTGTATTTTTAGTAGAGACGGGGTTTCACTATGTTGGCCAGGCTGATCTTGAACTCCTGACCTCATGATCTACCCGCCTCGGCCTCCTAAAGTGCTGAAATTATGGGTGTGAGCCACCGTGCCCGGCCTCATTCGTTCTTTTATATATTCATTTGAACACATTAGCTAACGTCATAAGATGGGTCAATAATTAAATTAAATGCAGTGTTTACACAGGTAAAGACACAGAGTACTTGCCCTCGAAAAGCTCAGAGGTTAAAGTATCCCAATAGATCAATTCAGGAAATTATGGTTTTTGATCTTTTTTCTCTGTTCTTCGAATTCAACAAGGGATATTGACACAATCTTATCAGCATTCTATTAGAGCCTAGGAAGGTGTTAGTTTACCATCCAACCACATTATCTGGATATGCAGGCTCACTGAGGGTCCATGCTTCATAGAATTCTGATCTGGTTGATGGGAAGGAGAACAGACAATGAGGAACATCAGAGAGACCACTCACTCATTCAAACCCCCAAGGCCCAGCA